GAAAATGGTGGACAGTTCAAACGGCTGACCGAGAAGGAGATACGGGAGAAGAGGGCAAAGGGGTTATATTTTCGATGTGATGAGAAATACATGCCCGGACACCGGTGCAAGGATCGAACTCTTCAGGTTCTCCCCGTTTGTGAAGACGAGGAAGACGAGGGAGGTGGGAGCGGGTCAGACGGAGAGGAGAAGCTGCATCTGGATGTGGCAGAAGTCTCTCTGAACTCAGTAGTGGGATTCAGTCCGAGTCACACTATGAAAGTAAGAGGAGAGATAGCTGACCGCGAAGTGTGGTGCTGATCGATAGTGGTGCAACCCACAATTTCATCTCTACCCAGATCGTGGATCAGTTAGGGATGGAGCTAGTCGATACATGAGGCTATAGGGTGATGATGGGCACGGGGAAGGTGGAGATGGGGAGAGGAGTTTGCAGGGGAGTGGTCTTGACCATCCAAGGGCTATAGGCAAGGAAGGATTTTCTCCCCTTAGAATTGGGAAGTACAGATGTCATCCTGGGGATGAAATGACTACAGACTTTGGGGGAGACCAAGATCAACTGGGGTGCTCTAAGAATGAAACTAATGATAGAAGGGCAGAGGAAGGTGATCCAGGGGGATGCAGGGCTGACAAGGGCAATCGTATCTCTCAAATCCATGATCAGATCCATACAGGAGGTGGGAGGAGGATTTTTGGTGGAGCTGCAACATTTGGAGAGGGTCGGTGTGGGGGAAGGATACATTCCACGGGTGGTGCAACCGCTCATACAGCAGTACAGGGAGGTAATCCAGCCACCCCAGGGATTGCCACCCCCTAGAGAGCAGGAGCACGCCATTCTTCTAAAAGAGGGAGTGTCACCGATCAGTGTTCGGCCATATCGCTACCCCCAGATTCAGAAAGATGAAATTGAGAAGCTGATCAAGGAGATGTTGGAGGCAGGGATCATCAGAACCAGTGTGAGTCCTTTCTTCAGTCCAGTCTTATTGGTCAAAAAGAAGGATGGGAGCTGGAGGTTTTGCGTGGATTACAGAGCCCTGAACAAGGAGACAGTACCGGACAAATTCCCCATTCCAGTGATCGATGAGTTATTAGATGAGCTGCAGGGAGCGATGGTGTTTTCAAAAATGGACTTGAAGTCGGGCTACCACCAAATCAGAATGAAGGGGACATTCAGAAGACTGCGTTCAGAACACATAAGGGGCACTATGAGTTCTTAGTGATGCCATTTGGGCTCACTAACGCCACCGCTACCTTTCAGTCCTTGATGAACAGGGTGTTCAGGCAACACTTGAGGAAGTTTGTGCTAGTCTTCTTTGATGATATTTTGGTATACAGACAGACTGAGGAGGAACATTTGAAGCATCTAAAGGAGGTTTTGGGGATCCTACAGACACATCAGCTGAGAGCTAACTTAAAGAAGTGCAGTTTTGCCCTGTCAAGGGTGGAATATTTGGGACATGTAGTGTCTCAAGAGGGAGTGGCAGCTGACCAGTCAAAAATTGAAGCAATGCAAAAATGACCCATGCCCAAGAACATCAGAGGGTTGAGGGGTTTCTTGGGACTAACGGGATACTATAGGAGGTTTGTGAAGGGGTACAGTTCCATCGCTTGGCCATTGACGGAGCAGCTGAAGAAAGACAACTTCTCCTGGGGTGATGCAGCGACCCAGGCCTTCGAAAGGTTGAAGAAAGCCATGACCTGCTGTAAACCATGCAAAAATGGCCACCCCAGGGATTGCCACCCCCTAAAGCGCAGGAACACGCCATTCTTCTAAAAGAGGGAGTGTCACTGATCAGTGTTCGGCCATATCGCTACCCTCAGATTCAGAAAGATGAAATTGAGAAGCTGATCAAGGAGATGTTGGAGGCAGGTATCATCAGAACCAGTGTGAGTCCTTTCTTCAGTTCCATCGCTTCTCCTCCACTACTATACACCCAGTGTTCCATGTGTCAAAGCTGAGGAGAGCTTAGGGGGAGCATGCAGTTAGCGCCGAGTTACCAGCATTGACTGAGGATTGGGAAGTGATGTTAGAACCCCAGGAGCTTATGGGGGTAAGAACAGATCAAGAAGGAAACAAAGAAGTGTTGATTCAATGGAAGGACCTCCCTGATTTCGAGGCGACCTGGGAGACATTTGAAAGAGTGAAAGAGCAATTTCCCTCCTTTCACCTTGAGGACAAGGTGAGTTTTTGGGAGGGGAGTACTGTTAGGCCGGCCCAGGAAGGGCCGGCTGGACTGGTTCAACCCGGACCGGTCCTCACCTACTCGAGGCGGAACCGCACGGGGCGGAACCGAGCGGCACAGGCGGAACCAACGGGGGGCCAAGGAGGAGTTTTGGGAGGAAAATTTTGAATGTGAGGGGCTGTCTAGACAATTTGTAAAACTCCTTTATGGTTAATTAGGAGGTTAGGAGGAAAATGGAGGATTATCTTGAATTTGAATTTTCTCCTTGAGATCTAGGATTTGTCTTGGCTCTCGGCGTTGCCGGAGATAGTGGAGAGTTTTTCCTTCCTCTCGAATTGAAGGAAAATTCTATCTTGCAAGTGCTTTTCATCCATCAGGGAAATATAAGTGTTTGCTTTGATTTCCTACGGATATCTCCCTATTTTCTCTCAGATTTATCACTGTTTTGGGCTGTTTTCTGCTGTGGACAGCAGTTTGCGTGGTTTAGATACTTGATTTGGGTTAGGTTTACTTGTGCATGTAAGTATTACCTGTCACCTTCCTCCCCCTCTACTTCACTACTCCAGCCAACTACTCATCTTATGCTAACCAGGTTTAAAACAAAAAACCTCAAACCAATTAACAAACTTACTCTCATGACTTCTGCTCCACCTAACTTTACTCCCACCTATTGTAGTCAAGCCGTTAAACATTCTCATTGGTGTCGTGCCACGTCCGATGAATTCTTGGCTCTACAATAATAAGGAAACCTAGACAATGGTTCCTTTGCCTTCCACTCAAACTGTTCCTGGCTGTCGCAGGACATATAAAACAAAATTAAATTCTAATGGCACAATTGCTCGTCAAGAAGCTCGTCTCGTCGCCCAAGATTTCTATCAGGAATATGGGATATATTATATTAAAACCTTCATTCCTATCGCTAAACTACCTATCATACGGATCTTGCTCACCATTGTTTTTCATCACAACTGGTTTGTTCTTTAGCTCAACGCCTCTAATGCCTTTCTTCACGGTCAACTCAATGAGACTGTATATATGCACTAACCACTGGGATTTACTGTCTCCCAACATCATGCCTATGTTTGCTAACTTTACAAGGTGATTTATAGTTTAAAACAAGCTCCACGACAATGTTTCAACACATTCACTGACTTTTTACTCAACTTTGGTTTCAGGTATAGCACTTCTAATCCTTTTCTTCTCACCTATTCCCATAACAACATTCATATGTACTTAGTTCTCTACGTTGATGTCATCCTTCTCATCAGCAACCATCAACCAACTATTTCAACAAGTATTTCTCAACTACAACAACAATCTCTCTTTTTCTCTTCATTCAGGTTCTACATACAATCTCTCTTTTTCTCTTCATTCAGGTTCTACATACACCTATTCTAAACCAGTCCCAATATGCCACAAATTTCCTTCTCAAATCAAGTATGACCTGCTGTAAACCAGCAATTTCTCCCATGAATCTCAAACCAGCTCACAATGCTACTACCGATCAACCATTACAATGATCCTGCTCTATATTGCAAACTTGATTGATCTCTTCAATCAACCATACAACGATACATTGCTTTCACAACAAATCAAAACTACCATCATATGCATCATCCTTTGAAAAAGCACTTTCAACAGCTGAAATGTCTCCTACACTACTTTCGAGTGCCTTTTCATTTCAGTTTACCCATTACTAGAGGTGATCAACTACTTTGGTCATACTCAAACTCAAATTGGGCAACAGATCTCGGCAACCACAAATCCACAATAGGGCTATGTACTTATCTTGGGAATACTGGTCTCCTGGTCTCTTAAAAAGCAAGTCACAATAGCTAAGTCTTTCACATAAACAGAATACAATGCACTCACCTCCGCCACTTCTAACATTATTTGAGTTCACTGGCTTTTACAAGACTTTCACATTTCACTTTTTGCACCCACACCTCTCTATTGTGACAACACATATGTCATTGCTCTTGCAAACAATCTGATATTTCATGCTCCCACCAAATAGATCAAAATTGTCTATCACTTTATTCAAGATCACATTCTACCCAAAGAAATTACTGTTATTCATATCACCTCTACAAATCAACCTTCTGATATTCTTATCAAACCTCTCCCTGTCTCTAGATTTAATTTTCTTCTTAACAAATTAACGATCAAATCTTTGGCTCCTCAATTTCCTGAGGATTGTTAGTTACCCACTCTAAGCAGGCAATACTGCATATTGCAGTTTCAATAAATTGCAACCCATTACTGCAATTTCAACAAAACATAAATTGCAGCCAACTACCGCAATTTCAACAAACTGAAGCCACTACTATCCTCTGCGGTTGTCTTTATCAAACTATATGTCACGACCCGTCCCGGATGCTCGATCTAACGAGGCGGGTACCGATGCTTGATCTATTCTTGAATTAATTTCTCTTCTTGCTAAATCCTCGCGGAATCAACACTTATGACTTGATCTTTCACTTTCAAAAACCACTTTTGAATGGAGACTTCTCAAACTCTCAAAACCCTTCTTCTCGAAATTTCCTTTTTCTTCGCTTCAATCCCTTTCCTATCTTTCCCTTAATCCTTATCGTCCGCTTCTCTCGTTCTTCCAATCTCTCCCAAAATAACACTCTCGCTTCAATCCCTTCCTTCTCTATATCTGTTACTCTCAGCAATTCAATATTTTAATGTTCTCTCAGGAGGGAGGTCATAAAAACAAAGATAGTGTAATAAAAAGAAATATTTAAAAATTTAGAGGGAAGGTAGAAAGAGAGAGAGCCAGAGAGGCCACTAGCGCTGTTTGGAAACGCAAGAAAATTTCAGCTAAGAAAGCTAGACAGTTCATGTTATTAATTCCAAACAAAACTATATTGCAATTTATCCAAAAAAATAAAAAATAAAACAAAACTATAAGCAAAAAAGAATAAGGATCGTGCCTAACTATATTTACATGCAAGCAACATGCACTGGACACTTTCCCTGCTTGGAAAAAAAGACGTAAAGCATATAACCTATGAATTGCATCATATTATCCACGAAGGTATGCTGCTCTGAAACTAACCATACTTAGCTTCTATTTAAGGTTCTGAAGTGAATGGTCCCCGTACATTGGCATCAGAGTTGGGAAATAGAGGTGATGGCTGTTCTCCAGAATGAGCTGACTTCCTCAACTTGGGGTTCTTTGGAGAGGAAGTGTGAGCTGTGTTCTGATCGCTGGAAATAGAGTAGCATGAGCATAAATATTTATAATATTAATAATCTTAGTATCAACAACATTCTTTAACGTTATAATTATATCTCAAGTTCTATTAATTTCTATAATATTATCTTTAAAATTTTTATCTATAATCCCACCTACATCATTTCTACTAGAAATGACTCTCACTTCAATATCATAGTTTAAATCTTAAACTATCAATTTCCTTAGCACTTTCTCCAACCTATTTAGTTTCATGAATGCATAGACTGTATATGTTGACCTAATTTGATTTCATCAATAAGACACTTTTTCCGAATAATATACAAGTCAAGAAATAAAGATACACCATTAAAATTGATATCAATTAAACCCAATTTTTTTATTTTAAAATTGAAATATTAACCTTAATTTAAATAACCCTTACTCCCAACCCAAAAAAAAAACAAAAACTGGTCTTTTTTAGGTTCGATTTGGTTTGGTTTTTAGATTTTAACCTGCGATGGGCCTTAGGTAAACCAGTCGACTCTGTGTCCAAAGAATAGCCCTTCTTAGGTAAACCAGTCGACTCTGTATCCAAAGAATAGCCCTTCTCTAGAGTCTCGGCTTCAAATGGCAATTCATCAAGCGTCTTCAATTCAAAAGCAATCAAATATCACAGTAAGAATGTGTTTCCAAATGACATTTATAGAATTCCAACTTCAGAAGTAGATCTTAGATATCAAGAGTTAAAAGAGACTTTACCCTGTAAGCTTGCTGTAGAACCCGGAGAGTTTCCCGAATCTTTTTCCTCCTCGCACTCACTTCATCCGGTTCTCGCAACATTTCTTCAAAAAGATTTTCTCTGCATGAAAAAAATGTGGGCAAGAATTGAAATTAATATTGAAGATTAATTCCAGCTTTCTTAACTGCAAAAGAAACAATGCTAAAGTGTAGGGAATGAGGAGATTTTTAATCTTAAAAATAATTGGTTGAGGGGTGGCTGCTGAGAATATTACAACAGAAAGTACCTGTAAAGCTTCCTGATACAAACATTGTGTAATTCTCTTTTTGCATGATTCACCTGACATGAGCAGAGAGTCATTACCTGACTGAAATGTAGTAAAAAGATCCATACATCCACCAACAAAGGATATGTAGATATGATAATAACTATCTTTGTGAAGATCATGCATGGAAATCCCACAGATTTGGTAAAATTTGTTGGAGTTGCCTCGAATTTGGCTACACCCTTATTTCTTCATGCCCTTGACCGTTGTTCGCTTGGCAGATGTGTCGGGGTCCAAGGGGGCAAAGCCCCCGGAACAATTTTTGAATGTAATGGAATTTTTGGCATTCCGCATATTTTTCGGTGCCCTAATTTTATCCTATAAATATACTGTAAAAGGCTTAGGGTTGGTGCCGATTTGTTAATCTACTTTTTATTTTCTCTATAGTGCAGCCATCCCCTCGTGGTTTTTCCCAATTTTGGGTTTTCCACGTAAATCTTTTGTGTTCGTTTGTGTTTTGCAAATTCTGATTTATTACTTCTTTTTTAGTTTGGTTTGTCGTACCCTAACAAAATTCCCTATAAAATCTTCGTCAATATTAAAAGATATTAAATAGCATGCACCAAAAGATGGTTATCCCACAGTTTTGGCAGATGCAATGGCAAGGACTATCAGTAAGTTCCTATCATACCATCCAACCACCGCCACTGGTTTGAAAAGGTTTAAAAAAATAATGTCATTTGTTTCTTCAATTTAATTGTAGTTGTTGAAGACGAGGGTTGAACATGAACAAGAAGACGTTACTACTGCTGTTACTCTTTTCCATTCCTGGTAGTAAAAGAGCTGAAAGCTTCCACTTTTGATGGAATCAGAATTAGAAATACATCTTGAAAATGTAAATCTCTCTATTACAAGCATCCAAAAAACTCTTTCCTTTTCCCTTGTCCTACTATCTATTTGTTTGTTGTGAGATACCCCTAAATACCATGCAACCCGTCTCCAAACATAATGCTTAGAGATGATAAGTAGCAAATTTGTAATTGTTATCTAGATGATGGAAGGTAATATATTTATAAAGATCAGGTAGAGGGGGCGGTAGATAACAAACTTGTAAATGTTAGATATAGAGGGCTAGTGATGCGGACAGCTGAAGGAAATGGAGCTCCTACCCGTTCTACATCAGCTAGATAATATATTTGTAGAGGTTTGAGTAAGGAAAATAATCTCTACATTTCTATAAATGAATGAGGCAATATTAGAAGATCTGAAAGGCCATTGAGGATTATATAAAAAGTCTTCTTAGAGGTGAATATGGCACAACCTGAAGGAAATGGACAAAGCATCACAAGAGGTTGTGGTGGTCACTGAGGATGGTCATGACGGTCCAGTTCAATAAATGAAGGTTATGAAGACCACTGAACATTGTCCAGACCAGTCCAACCCTTAAAGTCGAGATGGCAACCTAAAGGTGACATCGTGGCAACACAGGTAAGTCATCAAGACCATTAAGATGGCTAAATTAGTTTTCCCCCAAAGGTGGACACAAAACAAACTGATAGGTGTTGCTGTACATAATGATAAAGGGAAATCAGAATAGTCACTTCCTTGAAAGAAAGCGTAATTAAACAGCTTAGGATAGACAAATGATTGAAGGTGATCGAGATAAACCTTCTCATGGATGAAAGGGAATTGGAAGTGCTCAAGAAAATATTCTCCAAAATGAAGGGAAGTGGACTAGATTCGCAAACAATGAATCAACTTAGAAGAACAAATAAATGATTATTATAATAAATTAATTTCTTTATTTTATTGCTAATTGAACTTTGTAGCATGCCAAGGTATTGGTATTGGATATCGCTAAATATTAAATATGCAGCAAATGACCGAATAACTGAGGTTTATGGAATATATATATATTACTACAGCATATAAAGAAAAAAATTGAAATAAACTAAAAGATGATAATGAAAATGAAAGTATTAAGATAAGGAAAAGGTACATGCATGCAAATACAGGAGTTCACCCCCTTATACCACTGGCAGAGGACGCAATGTTCGCATGCACGTTAAATGGAAAAGAAAATGAAAGTTTAATTAAATTATTTACTTAAACTTGGGCCCCACTCTCATAACTCCTAAATCCCTCTCCCCCTTTTCATATGGCCGGCACCCTCAATGGGCTCTCTCTCCCTTCCAAATTCCATTAATAGCACCACAAATTTAGCCCAAATCTTCTCCCCTTTGCCGCCCCCTCTCCCCTCCTTGGATTAATTTGAATTTCAAATTAAATCCCTCCCTTAAACCACCCAAATCTGAAATTCATTCAGATTTCCTGCACTTTCAATTCAGCCCCTCCCCCATAGCCGAATCCCCCTAGCCCTCATGCCGGCCAACCTTCTCCCCCCAAGCCACCACCTCCTCCCTCCCCACTTCTTCTTGGATACTACCTCAACTCCTGGCAAGAATGCATGGCGGATCCTGAGCTTGAAGGCGGACTTGTGTTTGACGTCTACGGGAATATTCACGTACTTCGATCCTCATTCTTTGACGTGGGGTTTGACCACGACGACGACACAGTTGGAGGTTACTTGGATCGAATCCTTCCCACCCTTGTGCACGTCATTGACGGACAATTCGCAAATTACTAGTGGATCATCGAATGTCATCATTCCTTGCCACCTCCACATCCTACGCCTCCCTCTCCACCTCTACTGCTCGCCGGTGCCGTCTACCTCGAAGTGATCATGTTTCTTATGTGGTTCTTCTTCCTCCGACAACCTTAGACGTAGAAGAGTGATTTTAAGCCTCAAGGTGAGACAATCGCTTTGTTAACCGCCGGATTCTAGTTGGCTATTCATTTTCATTACTTGTGATTGATTGCTATTTTATAAATCTTGCAAACTTAGTTGTAACAACTTGCCTAGACTTTGTTAACTTCTAAGATCTTTTTGAATTGTCAAATTTGAGAAGCATTAAATTGTATTATCATTACTCTAACAAAATTTTATTAATTTCTAAGAAACACAATTCCTGGTTTCACATCATCTTGGTATCAGAGCATGGCTAGCATGCTTTACATGTGCTAGAAGTTCCTAGGAATCTAGTTTGGCATTTGCGTAGTTCATTTGCATACGTACCATTGCTTAGTTAATAGAAATTCCTGTTTTACTTTGCTGTCCAGTAAAGATCTGCATGTTGTTATCCTTTTAAACAAGCATTTTTCATCACCTAAGTGTTTTCTTTGTCTTTACAACTCACCTAACCACTTAGGTCACTTACCACACTTGAAAACCTTGCTGTCCAGAACTTTTCCTGCACTATTTAGGGACATTTAGGTGACCCTAAGTCTGTCCTAAGTTGCTGTCCAACCTTCTAATCCTGCCCCTAACACTTAGACAACTTAAGTCCTTGTGGGAGGTTGCTGTTCACAGAGTATCAGAATCATATAGAGGCATTAGGAGCATCTTACCTTAGCGTCTAGGTGCTGTCCACCACCCCGGAACTTCCCCTAGCAACCCCTAGCCTTCACCCATGGATCCGGAACACATCCAGGCGACTCTAGAACTCATAGTGGGCCAATTAGGAACTGTTACGCAGCAAATCCGCAACACCCAGACGGATTTAGCAGACTTTATGCGACAAACAAGTGATCGACTGGATAACATAGAGCGCATATGGAACCCCACTATTTACACCCCTTCTAGGCCGCATTCACCTTATGGTGATGACACACGGGCCGATCATGGACTGCAACGAGATCAATACCGTCATAACCCTAGGCCCAATCCTGACCCCTTAGCAAATGAGAACCCTTGGAGAGACAACAACGCTCAATTGCTGAAAAACATTAGGATTGATGCCCCGACGTACGATGGAACCCTTGACCCTCAAGTCTTCTTGGATTGGCTCAAATCCATGGATAATTATTTCAAATGGTACAACATTTCGGAAGCTAGGAAAATTAGATTCGCTGAAATGAAACTCACTAGTCGAGCCAACCTATACTGAACCAATTTGGAGAATATGCGTGAGGTTCGAGGCGAACATCCTATTACAGATTGGAGAACTATGAAGCAGCCTGCAATCTAGTTCTCGACCTTGAGGAGTCTAGGACCCATTCCCAAACGAAGCATTTTGACTACCGCTCAACTTCTTATAGGACCTCATTTGGACAACCCCAAAACTGACCCTCGGGCTCTATGGCGAACCGACCTACTGCTAGTTCGGCTCCACCTCGCACGGACCTTAAAGGTAAAGCCCCCGATCGTGACACTTCCAAAACCACTTCAGGGACCAAGTGTTATAGGTGTCATGGGTATGGGCACAGTGATTCGCAATGTTCTAACCCCTACAAGGTCACCATAATTGAAGAAGTGGATGAAGATGAGCACGAACCTGAAACTGATATGATCCATCATGTTGATGAGGAAGAACTCCTTCACTGAAGACGAACCTGTTACCTTACAAGTTGTTAGATGTGCGTTGTCCCAACCCAAGCCAAGTGATGATTGGCGAAGGACCTCCATTTTTCATACCTTTATTAAAATTGGAGAAAAGAGTTGCAAAGTTATCGTCGACAGTGGAAGTTGTATCAATGCAGTCTCTTCGGTTATGGTTTACAAACTTAACCTCAAAAAGACACCCCACCCAAATACGTATAAGGTCTCTTAGATTAACTCGACTACCATAGAAATTAAGGATCAGAGCTTTATTCCTATAGAATTTGTGGGATATCAGGAAAAGATTTGGTGTGATGTTTTGACTATGGACGTAAGTCAAATTATCCTAGATCGCCCGTGGTTATTTGATAACGATGTTCATATTTATGGGAGGACGAACACCTGCGTGTTCGAGCATAACGGGAAGAAAATCAAGTTAATACCTTCACAACCCAAACCCCCTAAGATGGAAGCCAAGCCTACCCCAGCCAAACAAGACAAAGGGCTACACCTCCTGACTCCAAAGGAAGTAGAAGATGAGATTAACAAGGGAACCATCATGTACGCCCTAGTGGCTCGAGAAGCCAATGAAGAAGTAGGTGAACCCATTCCTGACGAGGTCCACCCACTCCTTAA